AAGTTCGAGGTGAGAAAATTTTCTTGAGGCTTGGGGAGAGTAACCGCAACAGGTTCCTGAGGCCTCAACTTTCGGAAGTTGTGCGAGTAGCGCACTGCCCGCGGCCGCTTGCATGGCCGCTTTTGCTTGACTGCTGCTCATGGAAGCCGACAGCAGCAGCAGTCCTTGGCATCTTATTCAGGACTTGGAGGCGCAGAGCGGGGGTGTTGGGCCTCCTTCGTCCTTCGAAGAGCCTCCGGTGAGCCCTCCTTATAGCCTGGATGAGGATATAGTCTATGAACCTTCTATACAGGAGGAAGCTGCTTGGTATGGGCAGGTGCGCGAAGCGGATGATTCGGAGGGCCCTCAGCCAGCCGAAGCAGTGACTCGTCGTGGTCTTGATAATGATCAGGTCACCGAGGATGCACATCAATCAGTGTGGCGTGGGCCTTCCTTGACAGACGAAGCCTTTACTAAGCTGGCAGCGGATGCTTCTTTCAAGAGGATGCGTTTGGAGAGACCTCGTCATTGCTGGGAGAACAGTCGCCTTTTTGGGGGGTCATCGAGTCACCTTTCTTTAAGCAATTGGCTTGCAAGACCTCCTTCCGTGGGCATTAGGGAAACCCTGAATAGGCCCGAGCCAGATGAGAAGTTTGGCGGCGAAGGGGCAGCTGAGATTCCTTGGACCATTGAGAAAAAGCTCAGGGGCATGCGGCTTGTTAAGTGTGATGAGGATGAGCGGAACTACGCTCTGAAGAAGCTTAAGGCTGTAATACTCTTGGACCCTCCTGCTACGGCCCTGGGCTTGAGTTTGGTTCGGCAAACAGGAGCCCTGGAATCTGACGAGGTTGTGGCTGCAAACTTCTGCGACGCTTTTAGTGCCAAGGCGTCTGGAACACCTACGAAGCGAGCCTCTTCCTTGCAGAGGTTGGTTCTTCAACTGTATCGACAGAACGTAGACTCGCCCTGGCGAATTACAGAGAGAGACTTGTATGCTGCACTGGGCGCGCTGCGTGATGGGGGTTGTGGGGCCACGGCTCCTGCCCACATCCTGGAAAGCTTGCGCTTTGTTCACAGCATTGCCAGGTTCTTGTACTTGGATCTCGAAGTGGTGATTTCAGCCAGGTGCAGGGGAGTGGCTCATTCTTGCTTCTTGACAAAGGCCCCTTTGGTGCAACGCGATCCATTAACTTGTGAACAGGTTAAGCTTTTGGAGGAGAAGATGGTCAGAGCGGGGCCAGTGGTACAGTGCATTTTGGGTCAGATTCTTTTCTGTGTGCATGCGGTATGCCGATGGAAGGATTCTCAGCGCCTCAAGGTGTTGGAACTCATTGGGAGTGGGGAAAGCCAGATTCTCTTTGGGGATGCCTTGGGGAGCAAGACTTCGTTGAGCAAGGAAGCGAAAACAAAGCTCACCCCTTATGCAGCGCTGGCCCAGGGACTTACAGAATGCAACTGGGGGCGGCTTTGGCTAGATGCCAGGGCTACATGTGGTCTTTCTTTTGGTGCAGGACCGGAGGGTTTTGCTCTGCCTACAAGGTCGCTGCGCCTGGAGGCTTGGGGATCCACGCAGATGGGAGCTGCAGAAGCTTCGGCATGGATGCAGGAGTTGCTTGTAGGCACGGGGCCTGGGGCACAGACCCTGGGCACGCACTCGCTGAA